GCAGTGTCCTTACTGCTCCCCTTGAATTTTATCCAATGTATAATTGTATTGTGGCACCAGCAATCTTCCTAGCTTTTCAGTTACTATATTCCATTATAAAGTATATTTTGTGCTAACATTTTAACATTCATTAAAAAACTGCTAGTCAACAAAACAAAAGTGAAGTCTTGTCCAAACATAAAAGATAGATATGGAGATATTTCAACAACTCCCTGCCTATTCATGAATACCATTGTAACTGTGGGTTAGATCTGATACAAATTCTTTAAACAGGCACAGAAACCATAATGCAGATTTCCAGAATGAAATTTCAGAGAGGTTTTCTGTACATATATAAAAAAAAGGCAAAGTATTCATCTTCTGGAGACAGCAGTAGTGTACAACACCATCTCACTGGGCCATTTCTTTTTATGCTTAGGATGTTCTAATGTCACAGGCTTAAGAGTCACCTAAAGAAAAATCATTCACAAAGCTACCAATAACAATGCCATGTGGAGAGGAAGGGATTTTGATGCAGAAATGGTCCTCTATATATAAAAAAAAAAGATAAAACTGTATAACATAAAAATTTGGTTCTGATTTTGAAGTCTAACCACTAAGAGTTGGATGCCCCCAAAGTCTCCACATTAATTTATACAGCTGGCCCTCCTTTGGGTCCAGCCCTAACAGCAGACACATGGGAAAAAACACAGATGCAATGCCTTGTTCTATTTTATAAACCTTTGCTTCTGGAGCTCTAATGTCTGGACCGTAGACATGACAGAACGCATCAGTCAGGAAGAGCTACTCAAAGAGGTCTGGACCTTGTGCTCAGAGGAACAGATTGTGCTGCTCATGAGAGTGCCACGTGCCCGAGCTCCTCTGAGCCCATGCCTCACCTCCCAGGGCTTTGCCTTCTGCACTCACAAGGTTTAAACCTGGGAGTGAATTTCACTGTGCCTAGGCAGTTGACTAGACTTTATCACAGAGCTCTCAGAAAACTTCTATAGTTGCTTATACCCCTGCAATTCAGCTCCTTGATATTTACACAATTTTAAGAGAAGTATGCAAAGAGAGGCAGTAACAGCTCCGAGGAGCTCACAGCTGCCTGTCACTGAGCAGACATGTGCAATATTCTGCACTGGCACTTCTAAGGGACTGGTGGCTTCAGGCCACATAGGCTGTATTTCTGTAGCACAGAAAAAAGAGGTGACAAAATCAAGTATAATCAAGGCCAGATCCTAGTTGCCAGGATGAAATGGAGACCTCCAGTCATCTGGAGATGATAAGTTATTTGAGGATGTTGTTATGTGAAAGCTTACCACAGGGGCCTTAGATCACTTTCTTCATCAGTCCTAGTCAAGAAACAGCTTTTTGCAGGAAAAAAATGGGACTCCTCACCCTTTGGAAGAGGAATAAACAATCTTAAGCACACATCCAGGAAATGGAAAAGCCCACTCAAAATCTGTTTCATTGCCCAGGCAGATGAAGCATGTTTGAATTTGAGCCTTTTCACATCTGTGTGACTGAGTTATGCCATAACATACTAGCTCCATAGGAATCACCAGCTCCTTGTCCATTTTCTTTACACCAAAGATAGAAGAGTTTCTCGAGCATTTACTCCAGAGCAGGTTTTGAGCTTTCAATACTGAGGAAAACATTTCAAGCTGGCAGTTAGATACTCAGGTCCTTGGATGGAGGACTTTCAGGTCCAAACAATCACCTCATCATTTCCAACTGACTAATTTAAGCAGCTTCTGGCTTATTTTGATGCCTCCTCTGAATTCTATTTCTACAGCCTAGTGTCTCAATGCAAAGTGCAAGGCATGAGTATGTCACTGATTTTCAAATAAACAAGTACTGCCAAATAAACAAGTATTTTCAAATAAATAGCATAGTGCTGTCTGTAATTTTTTTAAGGATTAAGCCATCCCATCAGTGAGGTATCTCCATAGTAGTCCCAGACTAGTGACCTACACTGGCCTGTAGTGAATAAACACTTTCCACCCATGTACTCAGCAGCCCCGCCAACAATGTGCTGCAGCTTCAGGCTCTTTGCACCCACTGCAAAATTAACAATACATTTCTTTCTCTGCAAGAACAGACAGGGCAATGCTGAACTTTTTGTGATTCTTACTGATGGAGTAAAGAAATTGAATTGTTTCCTAAGATCTACAAACTTTCTTCAGCACTAGAATGAAGGATTATCCACCGAAAGATGAATGTCCCTGGTCTTCAAGCCTATTAATTGGTTGGATGCCCTACTGAGACTGACAAAATGTGTCATTAAATAGAAGCCTGATCTAGTTCCAATTAATTTCAGAGAAAACTGGACTGTAATCTCAGCACCAACTGGGGTGATAGATTCTTCAATACGAGCATTTACCTATTGAGAATTTGATGGATACCAAATTCAGTTCACATAGGGCTGGTGACACATCTTGTTATTATCAAGCTGTGCTCAATTTGGAGAAAAAAACACAACCTAATTTTAAAAAGCTTTACATTCTATCACCAATATCTCAAGTCTTCTAATGCATCGTCATTTTATTGTAATAGAAGTTGAACCTAAGTTTTATGTTTCAACATAAAAATTTTAATATCTGAAAAGATTTATATTATAAATCCTACTTGCTTCATTTGTCCGCTTTAAGAATTCAACGATAACTAAGTATTTTTCCAGAAGATTCAGAAGTAGTCCTTATTTAAGGGTTTTATGTTGGCACAAGATAAAATGATTTTACAAGCTCTCACCATTATTTCTCACTAAATACACTTTTTATGTTATAATTTCTGAATATTTTTATCCAGACATATATATAACTCATGTTGGCATTAATATGAGTTCAACATGCAGGGCAAGGGTACATTTAACATTCCTGTACCTCTGTTGGTTTTTTACTATTTTTTCAGATTTTCTGGATTGTAACAAAACAGTGACGAGTTCTCACAGAACAGCAAATCTTAGAGCAAGTATTATTACTTGACTTTCTTATTGAATGAGTTTGTTAGAGCACAACTTACAATGTTAGTAGACTGACATGTAACTAATGATAGAATCTATATCATAGATATACTAGTGAATTCTTAAAATGGTTGCAAAATATTTACTCTCTATAGTAAGGCAACTGACCAACCTTTTTCCAGGGAAGATTCCACTTCACCTAAAGCAAGAGGAAAGAAGAAACATCAGAGAAATCACCATTAAGAAAAAATTACATATTATCTCATATTGACTCATTTTAATAAAAAAAAGTACTATTTAATTCTCTATATGCTAAATGGCAAGCATTCTATTCTGAGATTTTTTTGATTTTTCATAACATATCTCTCTTACCATAGAAGTTTTCCTCTGTCTAGGGTAGATAAATTTAATGTGCAGTAGTAACCAAGGAAACATCCAAATCTGTGTTTGTGCTTCTGGATGTTAACTTGTGACTACAATTTAAAATGTGCTTGATTTTATGCATGTTTCCACGTTTTAAGAAAAGGCCCAGCAGTTCCATTTTAGCTCCAACTGATAAAATGTATGCACAGGTTAGCAAGATTGTAAATCTAGCAATGTTTCCAGTGAAATCCAAGGCAAAAAATACTCAATTTCAGGAGAACTCTGAGCATTTGATTGCAGCAGTGTGTTATTCCACCTCCATGCAGGACATGGAATTTAAAGGAGTTAGCCTAAATGACCACGGTTGAGTTTCCAGCCTCAGCGACAGTGACTGCAGTGTGCAGAGGGCAGGGGCTTCATACAAACTCACTTTTTATTATTAAGTTGCCTATCACCTTTTCACACTCCTGGTAGATGTTGATGAAATTCCACTTGGGCCAAAGGCTGGTAGGATTGAAGTTTTCAACCACTTTGCGAGCATTTAGATCTTGAATTTTTGTATGTCAGGTACTTTGTGACCTTTCCTACTTGCATTAACACTTACCCACTCGAGGATTTGAAAGCTTGCAGGTGCTTCGGAAAATAATAAAAATGAACACTGTTCAAATTTTAGCAAGCTCTCCAGACTTCACCTTTTCTGTTTCTCAACCATTTTAGAGACTGGCTTTCTGCTAGTGATAAATCATATCTCAGAATAGGATGCCCAGTTCACAGACTCACTTGTAGCAGCCTCTCTATTAGTATTCATATTGCTGTTAATATAAAAAGCTCATGCACACATTTAAAATGTAGAAATTTGATAATATCTCAAGTTTATGAGGAAATATGTAGAAGTCCGTTTCATTATATGTTGCTTTTTAATTATTATCTAGTATAGCCAAGCAGAATATAAAATAAACTACCATGAAATGAAGATGTCACTCCTACATTCATTGCTTGTCAAAATGACTAATATGATGTGACATGATGATCCACTACTGCACTACTGCTCTGCTCAGAAAAGGGAGCAAACTTTTTTGTAACAGAAGGATAGTTATTTCCAAACTTGAATTGTTAACAGTTTACTTTCATTTATCAGCTGATGTCAAATAAAGAATGTTATTATAACCGTAGAACCGTAATTTATAGAAAACTAAATTATTGCAATATGCCATCCAAAATTCCCTTAGTTCATCCAAAATGCTATTTTTTCTTTACTTTTTATTTATTTTTAATTTCAATATATTGTCCTGTCATTAATATATTAAGAAAAAAATACAAGTTTCTTGGTCTGTCTTATATGTTTACCATGGATCTATAGATTCTTGCTGATTAAAGGAAAGTAATATCTGGATACATATTCTGGTTATGGCTTTGAAGTCTTGTATAAATTAGTGCTCTTTACTGCAAGATGTACTAATGGTAATATTTAATTCTGACAGCTTTTCTGTAGTGGTACATTAAACATAAGATGAAAGCTAACAGAGAGACCAATTTACTGATTGGAATAGCCAGTAGATGTTTTATTAGCAACAATGTTCGCTCTTCATTTTGTTTGACCTTCTTGTCTGTGAGGTTAAAAGCTGAGTAAGCCAACATGATGCATGTAAAACAGCAGTTAGAGCAGTTGCAGAAGTCTTTGCATTACAAATACCTTCATCACTGTCATCATCATCACTCCATACGATGTCAGACAGTAAAGAAATAAACCCATAAAGCCAATCAGTGGATTCTTCCAATGTCTCATGTATGATTCTCAGTGGTTCTGTGCTGAGCTTGTTAACAGATCTTCCTGAGTGCAGAGTTTTAAACAAAAGCAGTTTGGAAAAGAAAAATAAAAGATACTCCTTCAGTGATTAAAGTTACTCTTCATTTTATACAACACTAATTATATTACCTCCTTTAACAGAAAGAAAGATTGTGATTGTTAATTTTTATCAATCAAGAATTTGAGGACAGCTCTCCTTCCTGTGCGAGACTGGTATGAACTTTATCCTATTGTACTTGCTCTTTGCAAAGTGATTAAGGACCCAATGAATAATTTCATCTGATACTTAGCTCCAAATTCTGGCTCTTTTTCTGAGGCTTGGTTAGGCAAAGTATAAATATAGACTTGATTGTACCTAATAGTCATTCTTTTAGATAATCTCTTCTTTTCAGTCCAGTTATTTTCTCTGGCTCAGGTCCTCTGCCTCTTGATGCCTGCTGAGGATTCCCTGCCACCTGTGTCCCCCTCCTCACATCATACCTCCCCTTGAGAGCCCTCCTTACACAAGTCCCAGATGAGGAAGCTGCTGAGCCCAGGCTTAAGCATGCAGACAGGTCATATCATTGCCACAGAGTACAGGTAAAGGATTGGAAGAAAAGCTATATTTACTTGGGCCAAAATAAACCCACATCAGAATGAAGGTGACTGCAAATCCAAATTGTGAGACAGAGACAGTGACTTACTGTGTCTCTGGTTCTTCTCTTACAGTTTTTCTATATTTTCTTTCACATACCCTTGTATGCAGCTCCGTACTTAACTAGTTCTGGTCTTGTTGCTTCTGTAGGCAAGTAAGGTGGCAAATGAGGAAGGTGTGCAGTTTAATATGCTCCACCTTACTGGGACCCCTAACAGAAGTTCTCCCTGCTCCCCATTGTATCCACACCCAGTGGGAGTAGCCCTCAGTGGGGAATACAAATGTTCCCTTAAAGGCTTTCCAAGTTGTGATTTCTTTTCTAACTTGTCTACGCTGTCACAGTATTTAAGAGGAACTTTCCAGCTTCTGACAGTATTTCTTCTGACCTTTCTGGCCAGAAAACTTTTATTTTCTTGAAATCTGTACCAAACATTGCTTAGAAAGAGGAGCAACTCTCATTCACTCTATGCTACTGTCCACTGTACTTGAGATGGCAGACTGAATGATTGCTCTGTCTGTGCAAAGGTTTTCTACAAATGTAGACAATTGAAGGCAGACTACAAATACGATTTGAGTTGTTGGCCAAGTCTTGTTCTCAGGAGCTTCTATGGAAATATATACATGCAATTTAACAGTATCAATATGGGAACAATATCCCTGTTTACCACTGTCTTTCTGTATGCAAAGATTTTAGCAGAAAGTTAAACACAAGTCTTTTCAGAACTACTTCTGGTTGTAGTGTTCTGACTCACAAGTAATTAGCAGTAATCAGAAATAGTCTCACATGGACTGACAGGCTACAAAGTGCAAGCTTCAAGCAACAACTTCTTGGATGACAGCAGTATGAACAGTTATTTTCTAAAAGATCATGTTGCTCAGAGTCTTCTCCAATCTGATCAACCTGACCTTGAATGTTTCCCAGGATGGGGTTTCTACCACCTCTTTGGGCAACCTCTTCCAATGTTTCACCACACTCACTGTAAAAAATTTCTTCCTCGTGTCTAGCCTAAATCTACACTCTTTTAGTTTAAAATTGTCATCCCTTGTCCTGTCACAATAGGCCCTGCTAGAAAAATTGTCTACATCCCACTGACAATGGGATTGTCCCCTGTGTAAATATATATTACTGAACAATCAGGCACAACAAATTAATTAAACCTGTGGCATGATGTAATGATGTAATTTCAAAGAAATATGCATTATCTCTTCATTTAGTGTGCTATTGTGTGCACTACTGTATTTAGTAAGATTGAATAGTATAAAAGGGAATATTTACTTTGCTTATCATAAGGCATTTACTTATTTGCATCGGACTCATGCATTGAGATGCAGAGATGTTATTTTTTCAACTGATTTGCTGCAAATGCTCTTCTCAAGTATTCACCAGGAGAATTAATAACTATATTTATTCTATTAAAAAATAAATCTGCAAGCTGACCCCTGATGTCATTTACACTTTATTCTAATTTAGAGGTGCTAAGGAGTCCAAGTGGACTAATAGAAGGGATGTGGCCAGAGAAGTCTTAGCATAACTGAGGTTTTGATTCACAAGCACAGATGGTTGAACTTTAGAGAGCTGCCTTGATTTCCACGCTACCTGTCTACCCTTTTTACCCACTGGTTACTTAGGGTTGGCTCAGTTACTTTTGCAGCCACAGGCTTTTACAGCTGCAGGGACTACAACTGTAAATGAAACAAGAATTGCTGTTAATTTATTTTAATATACAGCTGTACCAACTAGCAGTTCAAGAACGGCTTCACAGGTAGCAGAGCTGTCCCCCCAGGCAGGCAAAGGAAGTGCTCATAGAAGAGCAAGATCAAGAGCACAGAAAATTATTCCAACCACCCCAAGGCAAGCCATCTTTGCTGATGAATGAGAGCCCTCAATGTCATATCTTGGTCTTTAATTCATAATATCTTCATAGCAAACTGTGAAAATGGATTAGAAATTGTATGTGTCCAGAGGCAAAATTCTCCAGTCATGCCTACACTAAGAGGCCCAAGTTACAAATCCTGTTTAACATAAAAAGCTTAGAAAAATCAGTTTGGGGCTCTGTAGAGGACACTTTACTGGTATTTGCAAAATTAAATTTTGTTTACAGATACCATGAGATTCACTGGCGGCCTGTTGCAAGCCACACATGCCTGCAAAGCTATCTCCTTGTTCGTAGATCTCCTGTTTAATTTCTGTTGTATTTCCTACATTTTTAAAAAGTAGTGATAACAGTAACGATGTGTCCTAAAATGCTTAAGAACACCACAACAGGTAACATTGAAGTGGCAATTACTACTGATGAAGTTCATGCTTTCAGCTCTCCCCACATCTTTGACACTAGCAGATTTTTTCCGTACTAGAAAAAAACAAACAACAAACAAGGGAAATAAAGCAATCCAGAGGGTAACAAGTAGAGAGAAAAATACCATTTGCCCCACACACATGCAAAGCAAGATAAATATTTTCAGAAGATTTGCATACTCTTGCTTCAAGAATGAAGCTGAGAAGATGCAGATTTTCATAACAAAGTTTGAGTTTGATATTTGGATGTAATTTACAGGGTTTAGGGATTTTTTCTTCCTTTTCTGTTTTTCTTGTGTGTTTCTTTTTTTTTAAATAATTTAGCTAGAGATGTCCAGCAAGGGTACAGTATAATGATTTTTTCTAGAATAGTCTTGAATTCACCACATTTAGACTGGATTAGTTGTCCTCCGACTTAATTTCTAGGCAGAACTTAGAAAACAAATTATTTTTATATTAAGCTTACAATGTAATTATTTTGCAATACATATTATATAATATAATATGTAATATATAATTTGTAACTAATCTATAACTATATAATTAATATATCATAGAACATATATATAATGTATCATATGTCACTATTGTACTGGGAGTAGCAGAGGCAGGAACTTGAATTTAAACTGTAAATGGCATTTATGAATACAGAGGATTTCTCAGATAGAGGCTATCTGTGAAGTTCTACATTTTGCTGAGCTTAAAATGAGGACTGAACCAATTCTTCCTCTTAGATAATGCAGGAGAAAAACATTAAATGTCTGTCAAAGGAGGAAAGGGGGAAAGGAAGTGAACGGTTACTCAACAGGTTAAGCTCAGAGGTGAAACATGCAATTAATATTGAAGAAAATAGTTTATAGTATGTAATTTCATTCAATCACTGCTTAAGTTCAGTTGACCCTGACTAACCAAATGTACCTGGAAGCCAGGTATTGAATCCTTGGTGCTTTCTAGACTCCCTCAAACCAATGCAGAAAGACATATTGTGACCTTCAGAAGGCAAGTCTCTTGCTTTCCTCTGACATCATTTTAAGTGTTATATGAATTAATTTTCAAAGATGCTCATCCCTTCCCATTGACTAGGAAGGAAACAAAGCCTGAAAAATTAGCATGGACATGACACCTTGCTTTCATATGTCTGAGGTATGTGACACAGATCTTATTAGTGGTGCTGTTTTGTATTCAAATATTTCTTGTCATTGTACATTTTGGCTCAGCACTTAGATTTGTACCTTTACATTCATAGTAATTTCAGGTCAATATGACTATTGATCCGATTACTTGCATTCCAAAACAGCACTGGTACCACTAGCAATGCTTTACTATAACATTTAGTTTTGCCATAGTCGTTTATTACTTACTGCAATATAAGAGATGTTTTTCAGTTTAGTAAAAGTTCATCTCTATTTGTGCTGGCACCTTCACTGCTATAAGAATAGTTGTCAGTCTTGCCCTTTTTTTTTTTCCATGGGAACTTCAAAATTTAAATTACAGAACTTTCTGGCAAATGCTGAAATTCAGAAGGATTAACGCTGACAGAAAGAATTCAAGTCAAATTGAAAGACTTTATATATTACTTTTCAACAGAACTTTATTGTAGAAAAACTTAAATGAATGCATTTAGAGAATGTATTTTACCTGCTGTAGATATCTGCAAGAAAATTTGGAAGCTTTTTTTCTGTTTTCTTTACTAAACATACGCAAGTTTAGTTAAAATAATTCATTTAGAAATAATTTCAGATGTGTTATAGCTATTAAATGCTTCTGACAACTCATTATGTATTTTGAAACTTTCATGATCATTACAGCCAAATTAAACTGCTATAATTCTTGGTAGATCTGCAGCATTATTCATAGAGGAAGAGTAATTTGATTTGAAATGTAAGGACAAGAATTCTGACCAATTAATTTCTTTAGTTTCAAACTCTTCTTGGTTCATAATTTTAAATCCAATTGATTCGAAAATAGAATTCTTATCTTTAATGGTAATTAATAACTCACACTTAACACAACTCCTTGAAATCAGTCAATGACAGACTTTTAAAGTCCCTCAATCAATATTAGGTCTATTCTTGGGACAGAAGATAATTTTAA